CCCCAAAACCCCAAAACCCCAAAACCCCTTCGGGTTAAAAATGTGGACTATTTGCGAAAATTATGTTTTAGAGAATAATAAATAAATATGAATAAATACAGAAGTTGGAAGTAATTTACCTATCAAGATTAAATTGACTAAGCTAAAAAAATTGAAGATTTCAAGGATTTACTAGCAAACATAGAAGACGGTGTGGTTGATTTTAATCTAGCAAAGCCAGATTCACAATGAAATAACTTACTTATAAGTGAGATTGAGCTTGAGCATAATCAAAGTCAAGGAAAGCTATAGATCAGCACTTAAGAAAATCAAGTGATGGATCATTTGAAAGTAACTCCAGAGTAGAGAACCTTATTGTAAAGTCTAGATCGCCTTGGTAAAATGAAGCTTCAAGACCAGTATCAGGCTTATAAAAAGATGTTTTAAGCCTAGCCATAAAGAATAAGAGATTTATTTGGCGATAAAATAACTGAGATCAAAAGAAAGAATCAAATCACTAAACAATAAGATGCAGTCAAGTTTGAGTACTATAAATATAAATAGACTATGTAATCATTACCTGGAAGTTAAAGAGATGGAAACGCTGATTAAATATAAGCATTAATCAATGTTTTTCAAAATTTTCAAGATGAGGAAGAAATAAGACAGGAAGATTAAAATCAACTAACAACAGATGATAATTTTGAAGACCACATCAACAATAACTTTCTTTACAAAAATAAAGGCAGAGCTAGGCATCATAGAGGTCTTAGTAAAAAGAACACTAACAATAAGTAGCTTTCATCTACATAGAGTAGTGGGCAGTCATCTTAAATCCTATCTCCAGTCAATGCTATTTCAAAAGTTGTAACAAAAAATTCATCAATGAATAACTTTTAAAATAACAATCCTAAAGATAGTAAATAGAAAAAACCAGCATTTAGAATTAAGAAGTAATCTGCTGCTATCAATAATAATAACATTCTTCATCATGATATATCTGAGATGGTTTTAAATAAATTTTAGAACTAGCATATCGTTGATGCTAGATCGAAATTAGATGATAATCTGATGTCTGATACGAATGAATTATCAAAAACTCATCATAACCAAAACTCAGTCTCAGAGTATAAAGCTGTTGAACAATCAAATAAAGCAAATGCAGGTTAATAGACAATTATTGCCCAAAAACTATCTCCCTAAAATAGAATAAGCAATTCAAAGAGTCTTCTTCTACACACAATAGATTAGGGGATTTTTACTTAATATGGACCTTAATATAAGACTGGATCTGGCTTTAATCAAAATAATCTAATGAGCAATTGGACACAGAAATAGTCAAGGCAGATTGAAATCAAGGATAAAACTGAATTCCAATAAAAGTTTGTAAATCATAAGAACTCGGTTGTGAAGATTATCAACAACACATTCAAAAAGATAAAATTGACTAAGGAGAACTAAGAAATAAAGGGGAGAGTAAGTGCACTTAAAGATGAATTGAGAACAAAGAAAGATCTTATAAAATTACAAAATAAATTTAGGGATGAATATAAACTTGCGACTCATTAAAATGTGCCTTCATATATAGAGGAATTCAACACTCGAGTTGTAACACCAATGTTTACTTTACCAAGACATCCTAATAGCAACCAAGACTTAATCCAAAGGAAGATTTAAAGAGAGATATTTAGTGCCTAAGCTGATTTAAGACCAAATAAAAATCAATTCTCAGCTTCTAGGACACAAAAGATAAACCAATTTAACATTGACTTGGGTTTGCAGTCGAAAATACTTAGCCCCGATAACAGAACGACAAGTGCTGGTTTTAATCAGCTGTAGAGAACTGGATTCTAGAGTACAAAGAGTATATAACTAGATAGAGATTTAAGTACAGCTGGAAGTATCCTTTAAAAAGGAAGTGTAATTGGAAATAGCTAGGACTACTACAAGAATTACCCTTTGGATTAGCTAAATAAGAAACATTCTAAAATCAAGATTGGTGTTAGTAGATAGGCAAACGTAAATGTTCAAACCTATTCTTCACTTGGAACAAAAAAATCTAAGTAGGTGCCTTCTTCAGGCTAAGCGAGTCCTCATAGAAGTCTCGAAGGAATTGCAGGATGGGAAGCAATGTCAGGGAGAAAAGATTCTTAATTTCAACCTCATCATCCAGTAACATAGCTTTACAGCACCCTAGCTTATTAATCAATGCACACAATCTCAACTCCTTCCAATTAAAATTCAAGACAAGTTTATATAGAACTACCTCAACTAGGACATTCAGACCAGAATAAACCTGCTTAGAACCTAAGGACTCAATATCTCTTATGAAATATAATTATTTTCCTCACTAATTTGTCATTTTATAATGTGATCGGGGTTTTGGGGTTTTGGGGTTTTGGGGTTTTGGGGTTTTGGGGTTTTGG